GGGGGACAAACGCGCCAGCTCTGCCCGGCCCCACCTGCTGCTGCCAATCCTGGCCCTGGGTGTGGGTGCCAGACTGTGTTGAGGGTGATGGCGTCGGGTTGGCGCCGGGGGCACAGCGCAGCCCCTGCCTGCATGTCACCAGGGTAACCCGCAGCTCTGCCCCCGTGATGAGACCCCCGTAGGGAGGGCAGGCTCTGCCTGGTGGCCGGGCTGGGGCCAGGGAGGCTCCCCCCACCCCCGCCCTGGGGAAGGTGGGGCAGAGCTGGGGAGATCACAGCGGTGGAGCCGGTCAGGGACTGGCCTCCATAGGCATGGCCAGTGGCAGGGACGCGGCCAGTAGGAGCTCGATGGCGCTCATCCCGGCGCCTTGTGGCGCCGCGTGCCAGGCACTGCTGTAGACCCTGGGATATCCGGAGTGATCGCTGCATTCTGGTGGGGGTGGGGATGGGAGAGAGCAGTAACCAAATTAACAAGATATTTATAGAGGTGCCTGGCTGGCTCCTCTCTAGAGCATGCGACTCGATCTAAGGGACTTGAGTTCAAGCCCCACGTTGAGCACAGAGCTTACTTAAAAAAAAGTAGATATTTATAGGTTGTCATAAGTGCCGTGAAGAAAATAAAACAAGGGATAGGACAGAGTATTAGGGGAGCAGGAAGAGGAGTGCTTTGGGCCTCTCCACGGGGGGGCCCATGTGGAGGCCGGGAGAGACACTGTGCGCAGCGTCCCGGCTACAGACGACTTGGGGGTGTGGGCGTGGAGAGAGATAAGCTGGGGAGGTCAGGCCAAGAGTGAGTGGAGTCAGGGCACAGCTGAGCTGGACTTAGGACTTCGGGGCTCCGCCTCGGCACCCCCACCAGTAACCCACCTGCGTTCTGTTCTATGTGGGCTGTCTGGCAGTACCACTAAAAAATGGTAGAAATCAATCACTACGTTTATTGAGCACCTGCTGTGTGCCCAGTCGGCTCCAGCCCCCTTTAGAGCTCTGGCCGCAAGTGTTCAAGTTGCCATCTATGTGCCACCACCCCTCCAGCCTCAGACCTCCAGGGCCGGCGGGGCGGAGCTGGGTGTGTGGGCAGACCCCTCTTTTGCCCTCTCTGTGAAGGACGGGACAGGCACTGTCAGGGGCTCCCTTTCATCACGATGACGACGTGAGCGGTTGCTGTCATCTCTTTGTGAGTCAGAGTCATCACTGGTCCCCAGGCTCGAGACTGCCTGGAAGGGATTCTGAGGCTCCGGGAACAGCCCAAGGGCACACCTGAGTGTGTCTGAGAGTGTGCACGTGTGTGTGTGTGCCCGTGTGCACTAGGCTTTCGGCTCAGGAGTGAAGAGCTCTGGCTGGAATCTGTCTAGAACAAGAAGGTCGCAGACCTTAACTGGCACCCACCTGGCCCTTCCTCGTAAGGACGAGGCGCCGAGGCCCAGAGGATGGGCTTGCGTGAGGTGTCGGCAGCCCCTGGCTCCTGAGGGGGCTGCTTTGCTCGGACATGTCTGCGGCTGCAGAGACTTACTCATCGGTGCCCCCAGATCGCAGTCCCGCTGTCATTCGGCGCTCCTGGTCTGAGTCAAGGCTGCAGAGCTGCAGGAGGGGGGAAGGAGTGTGGCCGAGGGCAGGTTCAGGTGCAGAACTGAGGAGGGCCGGGGCTGGCCCTGCGCTGAGTGAGCCCCTGGCCCGCAGGTGTGAAGGTGCTGTTCCGTGTGGGGCTGACGCTGGTGCGCCTGGCATTGGGCAGCACAGAACAGCGCCTGGCCTGCCCGGGCCTCCTGGAGACGCTCGGTGCCCTCCGAGCCATCCCCCCCGCCCAGCTGCAGGAGGAGGTCTTCATGTCCCAGGTGGGTGCCCCCTCCCTGCCTTCCACAACGGCCCAGCCCCTGCTGCTCAACTGGGGGAAACTGAGTCTCACAGCAGGAAGTCAGAGTGAGCCCCCCAGGGGGGAGGGGCTCAGTTCCTGTCCTCTGTGCAGCAGAGAATGTGAAAAACCCAGGCTTTAGGCGGCTTTCTATGGTTCCCTAGTGAGTCTGGCTGTCAGTCTCTGAGCCCTCAGCCACTTCCTGGGGCTGTGTCCTGCCCGCCCTGTGGGGACCTCACGGCTTCCTGCCCACCCCCCCGGAGTCCGGGCACACTCAGTACCAACCACCCCTCACAGGTGCACAGTGTGGCCCTGTCGGAGCATGACCTGCAGCGGGAGATCAGGGCCCAGCTGGCCCAGCTGCCCCAGTCAACGTCCGGGCCGCCCCCCAGGCCGCAGGCGCGCCTGCCCGGGGCCCAAGCCATCTTTGAGGCCCAGCAGCTCGCAGGGGTGCGGGGAGGCGCCAGACCCGAGGTGCCCCGAATAGTGGTGCAGCCCCCAGAGGAGCCCAGGCCACCACGGCGCAAGCCCCAGACCCGAGGCAAGACTTTCCACGGGCTCCTGACTCGGGCCCGGGGCCCTCCTATTGAGGGCCCCCCCAGGTCTCATCGAGGCTCCACCTCCTTCCTGGATACGCGATTCTGAAGGTCTCGCTTCCGAGGCACCGCGGACTCGCGTCCCCTGCGCCCACATGCCGGAGGGGCTGATGCCCGCCTCACGAGTGGGCACCGCACTTTACCGCTGGGATTCGGCAGCTCAGCGCCCTTCCCCCGGACTGTGCCGGACACAGGGAGGAAGGAAGGTCACACGGTGTCGTGTCAGGGGCTCCGACCTGCCGCTCTCCCACGGGGCTGTCCTGCTGGCTGGGCCCTTGCAAGAATGGAAGCTGGTGCTGAAGGACGGTGGGGTTAAGGGCAGCTGGCTGGGCTGGGGGCCCCGAAGGGCTCCTGGGGGCGCCTGGAATAAAGCCTGACTGAGCAGAAACCTGGATGGAGTTGGATTGAATGCTCTCCACCCCCAACTCCAGACCAGCTGCCCCTTGGACTCCCACCCTCACCCCCTCACTGCCCTGCCTCACTCGGTCCAGCCCCGGTTTGGTGCGCGCTGGATACACTGAGGCTGCCCATTGGCTGATGAGAGGTGTTTACCAGCAACAGGAGCCAATGGTAGGCCGCCTTGCCCAGCCTCTGGGGGGGGGCGGGGGGGGGCAGATATGGCGCTAGCACCTGTGGAGGGAAGGCCCCCCAGGTGGATGCTGGGCCGGGAAGAGGGCCCTGTGCCCCATTCCTCCCCTCCCCCCAAGGCTGGTTCAGGACCCCCAAGGACGGGGGTACTCTAGCCCAAGTCTGTCCCCCACCCATCGCCCTGGTCTGGTCCTCAGAGACAGCCAGGCCAGAACAAAAGCCTACTGTACCAGGACAAAGGCCCCCTGCCCCCTTCCAAAGCCTTGGCTGCACCCCCTCGGGACTGCCACCATGGAAACTCCCTCCCACATTCGATAATTGCCCCCGTGGGTGCCTGGGGTTCCTGGGACGCGAGCCATCGCCAGGACAACGGCTGGTTCCGATGCAGGCTGTGTCCCTACGGTGCCCGTTCCTGGGTGCCCTGCCTCCCCGGAGGCCCTCCCCTGCAAGGTGGAGGGTGGAGGGTGGCCGGTCGTGGTGGGACTCTGGAGTACCGAGACAAAGCATCTGGACTCCCACTTAAATGGTGGCATATTCAATCCGTTCCTCCCAATGGCTGTGCTGGCACACTGGCATGGCCACTGGTCAGACCCCTGGTTTGGAATGTTCTGGTGACGGGGCCACCATAGGTGGGGATGGACTTGCTCTTACACATGTTCATGAAGTGCTTGTTATGTGCGTGGTCAGGCCCTGGGTCTGGGGCCAACCATCCTGCACCCAAGGAGTCTATGGCCTGGAAGAGAGAACACAGATCCATGGAGTTTCCTGGGGGAAACTGAGGCTCAGAAAGGGAGGGAACATGGCCAAGACCTTGCTGCCCATGGCAGACCCAAGGTTTACCCCTGCCTCCATAACGGCAGCCACGAACCTGCCCCTGACAACTGCAGCCACCCAGGTCTGTCCTTCTGGGGTGTTCTCTCTCCGGCTCCCACAGGCCCTTGGAATGTGGGCAGCTTCCAGGACCCGCCCACCTCCTCCAGGACCCGCCCACCTCCTCCCCACCCAACTATGGAACCTGTAGTTTGACAACAACCCACTCATCTGCAGTTCCCAAAATACTCTCTCAGACGCCCCTCCCCCCCTGCAGGGAGCACTGATAGCCTCAGTAGAGAAAGGGGAAGTGGAGGCTGGCGAAGCTGAGTGCCCAGCCCAAGGTCACAGTGAGGGGCAGAGCCACTAGGGTACAGGGCTCAGTGAGTTGTTTTCTTTTTTTAAATTCTTTATTTTTGAGAGAGAGAGAGAGAGAGAGAGAGCAACCGAGCACAGAGCCTGGTATGGGGCTCGAACTCACAAACCTCAAGATCGTGACCTGAGCCAGACACTTAATCGACTGAGCCACCCAGGGCTCAGTGATCTCTAGACAACACCTTAGCCTTAGAGCATCGAATGCAGTCTCTGTAGCAAGTAGGGCGGGGGCGGGGGGGGGGGGACCTGCTCATAAGATCCCTGCCCTCCATGGGCGCAGCTCCTCTGCTGGGAGTGGGGAAGCAGAAAAGCAGCAACCTTGGCCCTGGGCCCGGGAAGCTGTTGTGAGGCTGGGACGGAGGCCATGGTGACAGTGGCTATAGACCCTAGGGGCAAATGGTCCCCAGCAGGACTCCTCAGGCTAGGGGTGAATCACTGCCTTTTCTGCTTGGGAAGCATTTCCTGGGCAGGTGCTGTTATCAACCAGGGGGACCCTGAGCCAGGTGGGGCGGGGGGGGGTGTCCCACCAGAAGAGAACTAGCCCCCTCCTCATGTAAACACTTTACTGCACACACTGTCCTCACAAGGCTATGGTAGCCCTTATGACACCTTCAGGCTAGTTGGGAAAAGATGCCTCCTCCAGGCACATGCAGCCCCATGTGGCAGAGGGGAAGTCACCACTGAGCTGGGTACCTTTGTGCAGTGAGCAACCTGCACAACCATATTCAGTAAACCTGGCAGCTCAACTCCCAACAAACCTGCTTGGAAAGGGGCACAGGGAAGGCAAGCCATGCATCTGAGAGCACTCAGCCCGCAGGGACTGAAGCTGGGATGGTGCCCGGCGACGTCCATGCGCCTGGGGCAGCCCAAGGGACAGGAGTGGGGGCCAGGCAAGAAAGTGGAAGGGTAGGGGCGCCTGTCTGGCTCAGTTGGAGGAGGATGTGACTCTTGATCTCGGGGTCATGAGTTTGAGTTCCACAGTGGGTGGAGGGATTGCTTAAAAATAAATAAACAGGGAGGCCTGGGCAGCTCAATCTATTGAGCAGCTGACTTTGGCTCAGGTCATGATCTCACAATTTGTGAGTTCGAGTCCCCGCATCAGGCTCACTGTTGTCAGCAAGGAGCCTGCTTCAGATCTTCTGTCTCCCCCTCTCTCTGCCCTTTCACTACCTGTGCTGTCTCCCAAAATAACTGAACATTTAAAATAAATAAATAGGGGAGGAGTGGGGGGGGGGGGAGGAAAAAATAATCAAAGTAAAATAAAATAAATAAACTTATAAGAACTGGAAAGGCAGTTGGATCCCCGCCATCTTGTGCTGACACCCACCCCAGAGTTCGCCCCATCCCCACACTGTCTAGAAGCCAAACTTGGGCTCCCCACAAAGTCCCTACACAGGAAATGCCTCTTACTCTCTGAACCACAGTTTTCTCCTACAGATAATGAGGTGACGCTGGCTCTCACCCCAGCCTCAAGATCGCTCTGTCACATTATTATGATAATTACCGTTCAGTTGATTTGCACAACAGCTGACATCGCCTCCCTCAGCCACCACCGCTCAGCCTCTGACACAGGGTCTTCGGGCAGAGCCTCCCTGCCAGCCTGCTTGCCCCAAGCCTCAGGGCCTCAGCGGCCGTTGCCCAAACCTGACTTTTCTCCCCGCAACCACAAGGCAAATGCGACGACAGCTGGTGCCCGGCTAGGGCCAGAGGGGAGTGTGCACAGGGCCTCACTGCACTCTGTGCATGTGTGAACACACTCTGGAAGACGCGAGCCCCAGCCCTGCCTCTCACCAGCGGTGTGACCTCGGGCGAGTCACACCACCTCTCTGAGCCTCGCTTTCCTCCTCTGGAAGGGCAGAGACTCGTAACTGCCACCTCTCAGGGTTAAGTGAGATACAGCACATAAAGCCCTCTGCACAGCACCCGGGACAGAGTCAAGAAACGCTGACACATGCAATGGAGTTACCTGCTGCTAGGTGCCCTGCCTTGCCACGCCTGGGAGAAAGTGTGCATCGTAATCCCCATTTGAGGATGAAAAACCGGAGTCTGCAGTGTTAAAAATAAGAGGCTCAAAGGGCGCCTGGGTGGCTCACAGGTAAGCACCGACTTCGGCTCAGGTCATGATCTCATGGTCCGTGAGCTCGAGCCCCACGTCCGGCTCTGTGCTGACAGCTCAGAGCCTGGAGCCTGCTTCGGATTCTGTGTCTCCCTCTCTCTCTGCCCCTCCCCTGCTCATGCTCTGTCTCTCTTTCTCTAAATTAAAAAACATTAAAAATTTTTTTTTAAAAAACCAAGAGGCTCAAAATGGAGATGCTTATGCTAAGCCCCACTTTGCCAAACTGAGACTTAGTCTCAGCTCCCCCAGAGATGAATTTTTTTTAATGTTTATTTATTTTTGAGAGAGAGAGAACATGTGCACAAGCAGGAGAGAAGCAGAGGGATGGGGGTGGGGGTTACAGAGGATCCAAAAGCAGTCTCCATGCTGACAACTGAAAGCCAAAAGCCTGATGCGGGGCTCGAACTTGAGAACTGCAAGATCATACCCTGAGTCCAAGTCGGATGCTTAACTGACTGAGCTACCCAGGCATCCCTCAGAAATAAATTCTTTTAAAAAAATATTTTAATGTTTATTTTTTGAAAGAGAGAGGGAGAGAGAGGGAAAGCATGAGCAGGGAAGGGGTAGAGAGAGGGAGACACAGAATCTGAAGCAGGCTCCAGGCTCTGAGCTGGCAGCACAGAGCCCAATGCGGGGCTCGAACTCACAACCATGAGATCATGACCTGAGCCAAAGTTGGACACTTAACTGACTGAGCCACCCAGGTGCCCCTCAGAAATGAATTCTTAAACAAGGATCACAAATCACAACTGATCACAAATCAGTTGGGTAATGTGACAATAGACCCCTGCCATTCCCTAAAGGAAAGCGATCTTAACAATAATCCCCTTTTTTTTGCCGTACAACTTCTTTGTCCTTTCTCCCTTCTGCCTGTAAAAGTCTTTCATTCTGCACAGCCCCTCAGAGCTCCTTTCTATCTGCTAGATGAGATGCTGCCAATTTATGAATCATTGGATAGAGCCAATAGAATATTTAAAATGTACCCGGTTCAGGGGCACCTGGGTGGATCACTCTGTTAAGCACCCAGTTTTGGCTCAGGTCACGATCTCACAGTCCTGAGTCCGAGCGGAGCTCAGGCTACCTGTGCAGCAAGAAAATGGACTTGTTGAGAAGTTCTTGAGGTGTTCTGTGGGTGCTTGGGTGAGTGCACCTGGGTGTAATGTTGTTTTGGGGAGACTGGGTGTGACCATTGCTGGTGTCCAGCAGACTTGGGTGTCAATGGGCAGAGCAGATCCTATAACCCGCGCCCCCCCCCCCCGCTTTCCTGAGCTCAGATCCACTGGGAACCCCACAGCCTGGGCACCCCTTTCCCTCTTGGCCCCCTGCAGGGCAGAGGGTATCCCAGGAGACTGGGATTGCCCCTGGGGGCGGGGGGGGGGGTCTTCTTACTGATTGGTCCCTACTCTGGTGGGGGCCAGGAGAGGTGAGGCAGGAACCCCCAGATGTGAACGTCTGCCCTTTCTAGAGTATGCCCTAGGGCAGAGTGCTGGTGGCTGAAACA